CAACACATGACATACACTCTCGAGTGTCAAATGTTTGGCAAATATTTGTCGCAAACTTTTGTTTCCAAAACAAAAATATTGACTTTTGTGACAATAAAGAGACAGCACTTTAAGTGTCAGTCTTATACCACTTAACCCAATAGTCTTTGGCATCAATATCAGCGATAATTGATACGTGAATATGGAGTGACTTTGAACTCTCCGATGACCCACCACTTCATGCGAGACATGAGACATACCTATACTCTGACACTAATATTCAAATGAATGCCAACGAAATACAGTAGATATCGAGAAATAAGCAGTAATTTCACGACAAGTATATGTAATTTATATGTAATTTTAATACACATATCATAATAACGTTAACGACATTAAGCCCTGAATTATACCTCAATTACCAGTTTGAAAGCGCATCGAAAGTGATATATGAGGGGTCGGGCAGTTTTGGGCGACGACATACAGTCTTTCCACTCGATTCCTGAGAAAAAACCATTAGCTCTCACCAGACATACCGGCCCTACATCTCATCGTAATCGCTGATAACTTATGCAACGACTCACTAATGCATTACAATAGCGAGGAATGACTCACATCTCAGGAATGATAATCATTTACTCGCAGATAATTAATGGTAACTCGACTACCAGTCCCCTCTCGACAACACCACAACACCAGTAATACAATACCTGAGCTCTGGAGGAATGAACTCCACAAACAACTAATGAAGAGACCATTCAATGGCAAACACACAGCGAATCCAAACGTAAAGCAAACTCTTGATAACGATTTGCAAACACAAAATCACTCACCGATTGACACATAGATAAGCGAAACACACATTAAATCGTGAAATAAAAAAGTTTGACAAAAAAGTTTGTTCAAAAAACTACTCTCAAATCAATGGCTTATTTTTATTCATCAAATTGTCTCATATTTATAAGTTTTTCAATTTATTTATTTATAATGTTTTGACGCAATTCTCGGAATCAATTATTTATTANAACTACTCTCAAATCAATGGCTTATTTTTATTCATCAAATTGTCTCATATTTATAAGTTTTTCAATTTATTTATTTATAATGTTTTGACGCAATTCTCGGAATCAATTATTTATTAACAATTCTGTTAAAATAAAGTCATTAATAATAATAATAGCAATAATGTTATCAAAAAATGAAGATTCAGTGCTTTTTTTCTATCTCTTATCGTAAAATTTAATACATAATTAAAACTCGTTTTTAATTTTTCTTATTATAATAATAATCATAAAAAATTCGTTTCACTTTTTGTTTTCAAATAAACAGTTTTATATGCATTTTACAGTATAGTCTTACAGTGTAGTGGTGAATGAATTACAAAAAACAATAATATATGAAAAAATATATTCAAAATAAATACTCGTCTTTTTTGGGTAAAGAATTTGTAAATTAAAAATAAAAGCAATTAAAACATAATAATCATAGAAAACATCGCAATGTTTTTGTCGCACATCCGACACTCAAATGCCCCTAAAAATGGTAGAAAACAATTGTTTCGCGTATTTTTGGTGTGTTTTTAATGTCACAAAATCCTTAGCCTCAATACAAATGACAAAATATATATTACTTTAAAAAATATTTTACATAATAGTCAGCGAGAGAGAGAAAGAAATAGAGAAATAGAAATGAAAACTTAAATTACAATTAAAAATATTCAAAAACACAGCGAAAAAACTTCTCATAAATATATATATAATATATAAATCGATTGGCAAATAAACTTTAAAAAACACATTTTTTCGATGAAAACATTTTTCTAATCAATTATTTAAATTAATTATTATATTATTATGTAATTAAAAAATGGAATGACCTTTTTTCAATCAGAAAAATCTATTAATAATTAGAAAAACTTTTTAAATGAGTAAATGATAGACAAGAAAAATGTTATGATAAATGACACCAAAAACAAAACTTAACGAATAAAAGACAAGTTTTTTTTATATCAAACGAAAAGCTATTTGATATAAGATTTTGCTTTCGTTTTTGTTTGTGTGTATAATAACAGACAACACGATGAATGGTATATAAAACTGATGTCTGAAGACTTAATTTACTGAATCGTATTCAACACGAGAGCTGCTAATCACTAAATGGTAAGACTCTATGACTCGTTATAATCATAATAATAATCGTTTTGTTTATCCAAACCAACAAATATCTATACAAATAGTTTCAATGCTTATTCAAAAATGCTTTTTAAACTCTCTTTTCATTATTAAATCCAAATGAATAGAAAAAACTTATTTTTGTTTCGTTTCAAACAAACAATTTTTTTTGTTCAATTAGTCCTTTTGTTTGGCTAAACATTTCAATCAGAAAAATCGTTTTCTCGTAGAGAGAGAGAGAGAGAGAAACAGTAGAGTATATATAATATAATCAATAATTAACTGCAATTTAACGCTAATTTGTTACTTCATTTCCGTATCGACTAATTTAATGTTTATATATAAACTATAATTACAATTACATCTGCACTTCAAACGCCGTCACCGGAGCTGCCGTTTGTGTGAATGGATTCGTACTGCGGGGCCGACTCACAGCCTGCTGATGGTGTCGGGCGCTAATGGCCGCCCACTCCGCGTCGAAAGGGTCCGACACACCGGTGTTGGCCAACGAGTTATTCCTCTGTGGCTGATATGTATGCCTACTATTCGTGTGATTATTCCCGTAATCGCTGTAATACTTGAGCTTCGGGTCGACGTACGGGTACTGACCGCCCGCGTTGAACACCGGCACCGACTCGTCGTCCAGCGACCGATGCTGTCGCAGCTGCGATAGGTTGGGGCTGTTGTGTCGCGGGGCCGCCACCGGGGGCTTAACACTCGGCACAGGCTCCGAGTTTAGCAGCGCTGCTATGGAAGGGTTGGCTGTCGTAGTGGTAGTGCTGCTGTTATTCGTGATGATAGCGGCGCTCTGAGGTACCGGTGATGTGGATTCCGTGGGAACGGTAGCCGCTTTGGAGCTGTCGTTAATCCAATTCTCGGTGTAATTGTTCGACAACTGCTTCAATGGACTCCACTTATCCACAACTTCGGGGACTAATCATAACAAACACACCAAACAATACGCCATTAGTTCTCATTTGGCCGCTAATAGGAGCGCCGGTATCTCTCATCGTCGCAATCAAACTAATAATTACCAGAATTGGTGGCAGTGTTGAGCGACTGCGTGGGCGACACCACTGTCGTGGGGGACAGGAAGGGGTCGTCGTTATTGCTGAGTATTGTCAGCCCTTTCGACAGCTCCTGACACATAGCGCTTATGGAATCGGAGGGTTCGTTGGCCGGCGACGACTCGGGGATTGGCATCACTTTCGGGACACAACAAAAAACACACAAATCTTATTAACCATTCGTTCAAACCGTCAAAAAAAGACAAATCACAACAAAAACACTACAAACCGGTCGAGCGATTGGCGGACAGATCGACGGAATGTGCTCTTTGGCGCTCCTGATTGGAGGGCAAGTCGTTCACCCGTAGGGACAGTTGCCGCTTGAAGGGCGACGCCGTGTTGAGGGCGCCGCCTCTCAGCGAGCCCTGGCGTTGGAGTAGGTTTGGGGTGGCGTGGGGTCGCTCCACGGCGAACGGGTTGTGCACTTGTTTTAGTGGCGGCGGATCTGTAGTCCAGAAAAAAAAACAGACCATAAGTCTTACGCGTATACTAACAAAAGCACTGGTAGTCTGTGTGTCACACTAACCGGTAGGTTTGGCCACTTGCGGGTCTACCATGCGTTCCGTGAGCGACGACTGCCTGAACGAGCCGTTCCGCGTGAAGGTCGACGTCTTGGGGTCAAAGTTCATGGAAACCGTCTCTTTGTCGCGCTTTTGCTTCCGCTCCAAACACACGGCGAAAGCGCAGCCCACGGCGTGGGACAGCCGTTCCCCCGAGTCCTTACCGGCGTTGAAGCCGTGACACATCCAGCGCCGGGTCGTGCCGTCGCGACAGATGTAACTGAAACCCCTTTCGTGACTCCTGTCGGGCGCGCAAAACGACACCTTCTCGATGGTCTGGTCGACGATTAGGCCCTAAACGACACATACGATTAAAACCATTAGTAAACGCATCGCAACGTCTACGACAAAATGAACAGTACTTTAGTCTCGTCGTCGACCACCCGGAGCCCATCGCCCGTCACAAACAGAGTGCCCTTCAGTGCCCTTCGTCTTGAGCTCTAAACCAAACAACAAACACTTGTATTAACTCATCTGTCAATTCAAATCATGTAATCCTCTCAACAAAAAGCACACAAAAACACCACAAATTCAATCGTAAATCTCATGCCATGGTATGTGCGGCACGGCTACTCACTCGTAGGACTTTGAGGGCCTCCTCGCAGACCTGCATTCCTCGCGACTCAAACACTTCGACGCATCCCAAGTACTTGACGGGGAAGACACAGGTGCCCGCCTTCACGCCCGCCTCGTCGGCCTGCCATTGATGCGGTTTAGACGACTCCGGGATGTGGTCTTTCTTGCGGCGAAAGCTCTCGCGAAGACTTCTTCGCAAGCGATCCATACCTAAGATTCAGTGATTAATAAAAACTTTTTTATAATAACCGCTCGTTTGGTGTGAAAAAAGTTTAGGAGAGGGGAGGGAGAGAGAGAGAGAGAGAGCACTACCACAACAACTTTCAATCGTTTGACCCAAATATCAACAGCACTTGAATCCAATAAAAAAATAATTAATTCAATTGAACGCTATGTTTAACCCAAAAAATGACTCCAAAAACCTCGCACACAAATATTTACACACAAATTCAAAACATTAGCTCATAATTGAATTAAAGCCAACAAAAACTCACGCGAAATGTGCGGACATCGCGAGAGAGAGAGAGAGAAACAAAGTTTTCACGAAAAAACAAACTGATTGTCAACACAAGTCTTACCCAACTTTTTACGGCGACTGAGTCTCAGATCATTTGCTACGTGCGGTTCACTCGCCGCCTGATCCGCGGCTAATATATGATTATTATTATTACCGCTATTATGGCTACGATTGAGACTCGTGTGAGCGGTCTGTTTATTACCCATTTTCCGTAGCGATCGGTATATTATTGCATTGAACACCAGCAGCGAGTTATTCATTCAAAAACTACACACAACTCAATGAGGAATGAATGAATGGGAAAGGCAGCTAATGGATTGCACAACCGATTTCGCGTATATAATACCACTATTTAAGAATAGGGTCGACCTTCAGAGCACAGCCAACAAATGTCACACTTTATTTCATGAGTTGTATTCCCATCCACTCGTATATACACTTCTCAATGTATTCGTGTAAACAGCGATATATTAATTCAATTTTGGGCTCAAAATACACGCCAAACACATCAAAACGATTAACATTCACAACACACTTACAAAATATTATTACAAAATCAGTGAAAAAAATATATTTTCTTTTGAGTTCAATACGAGTGTCTCCGCCAAAGAGTTAATGCCTTTCGCGAGTCGAGTGAACCATCAAAAAATATTTTTTCACAATATTTCCTGAATCACCACCAAATGAATCGCCAAATATCCGGAATACTTCTCTCTGTAGACTACCTGTCCCTTAAGACTTAACACACATTCAGTAGCTTAACGCACGGCACAGGTATCTCTCTCTCGCACTGCCTATCCACTACTCAGCTGTGATGAGACATATTTTTTACAGATAACTAACAGTTAGTTATTAATACATGAATCATAAAACGCTGCCAAAAGGTATCGTAAGTTAATTGAGATTCACTTGTCGATGAATAACAAAAATAATACAAATGCTATTCAATGTACAGAGAGGTGTATACACGGGGACGGTATGGTAGGGCATAAACGCCTCACACAATAGGCACAGGTGTATAGAGAGATAGAGATAGTTATGCAGCAGAAACTCGTTATGCAATTCACAATTGATTAAACAAATACTATAAATACCACTCAATCTCTACTACTTTATCACTACTGATATTGCGATATAAATCACACAATGTATACACACAAACTACATACAAATTATAACATTAAATATAACAAAACTAAAAGTAATAAATACTAAAAATTGGTATTAAATCTCAAATATAATTTCGATCGCAAATCCACTGGCAATGGATGTAACAAAAAGGGAGTCAAACGCTAACGTCAGTCGAGATTTTTAATGGTATCTCAAGACACGAAACACGGCATCAGTAGTGAGAGAGACAGGCATCTGAAGGAGGCGTGACTTCTAATGGCGAGTAATACTCGCGAAATGCCATTAGTTATCACTTTTTTAGAGGACAACAACTTTTTTGGTTCCCTTTTCACTCAATACAACAAACTTAAAGAACAAGATTTTTCGCCATCCCTTTCCCCCCTCTCTGCCAGAGTAATGCCAGCATAACCTAAACTGAACGGAAAGGTATTTATTATAAAAGTTCTAAAGTTCTAGTACTGTATTAAAGTATTTTTCTGTTGAAAACTACATTTTAGCCAAAAATCCGTAACTTTTATTTCGACGACAGGTCTCTTCAAAGTTTAGTTTCCAGTCACTCATCGAAAGCTCTCTCTCTCTCTCTCTCTCCGCTCACTTAAAACCATAAGATCTTCAACTTATTGAGCACTTAATACGAGAAATAAATCTCAAAAACTCCGATTTCACTCATTCATTGAGCAAATAATACGAGTCGTGTCGAGTAATACAGCACTTCTGTGTAGTATTTTTACTCTCGATTTAACATATGATTGAAAACATGGGAAAAAACAAATAAAAAATTTATATATGAAAACATAATTTAAGTGCAAATAACAAATCTCTACCGCTTTTTCTCATTACAAACAAATGCCAAACATCTCTCTCTCTCTCTCTCTCTCTCTCACACACACACTCACACTCACTCACTCACCGGTAATTGAATCAATAGATGGCAAACACAAAACAATTTAATAAACAATTTCTCTCTCATTATCTAAGAATGAGATTAAATATCAAACGAGATTTTTCTACTTAAAAAGTGTTATTACATAAGAAAATAAAACACAGCATTTTCAACAAACACTTTTGCTTTGTCATGAAAACATACATTAAAACAGTAAATGTATTGATTTTGTCATCAGAAAATGTTTATAAATTAGTAATAAACATCTTAGAAACTAATATATTTCCCATAAATTCAGATATTCATACACTTTGTAAACGAAATATAAAAAGCTTTTTGGGTTTACATTACCATTTGACAAATTTTATAAAAGGTTTTTCACATTAAAAAACACATTTTAAGCGTATAATTAATATACAAACAAAACAAGTTTAACATAAAATAGAAATTAATATAATTTCAAACTCATGTCGAAAGAAATTAAAATTCACATCAAATACACACCAAACAACAAAAATTGGTTCAAAAAAATCTATTTTTCACTTTTAAAACACTAAAATAAATAACCAATCGATTAATACCTCACAAAAACACATCAGAAACTAATTATAACGACATTTTTGCCCTAAAAATGGTATAAAAGGAAACATTAATACGAGAAATAAGTGCACAAAAAACTTTTTGAGTTCAATACTACATCTACGAAAATAAGTCAAGTTTCAGGTAATCATATGAAAAAAATCGTAACCAAAAAACGTCTGTAATTTCCAAGTCTGTCATCGATTTTGCATTACATATAAAACACTAAATTATTTTTTCCACATTTAATTTATTTATATAAAACACTTATTTGATTCGCCACTCATTTAATAATTCATACATTAATTCACCAAAAAATACTTATTACATACGAAACGGTAATCTCTAAAACACATCAAAAAAACTAAAACTCCAAAACGTGTTCAGCAAAAAGCACTCAAATACTCATCGCATTATTATTATTGATTAAACTTTTTGTTGTTTTACACCAAATTAATTAAATATAAATCCAATAAAATTGAAACAAAACTTTTTTTCTAATCAAACAAGTGATGAAATCCTAATACATAGCAGACATCATCAGCGCAACTACTAATCAGACTTAAGTCTTATCGGAAAAGGACTGTTAAAAGGGGTTTAAAAACCACAGATAATCGCTAATGAATTATATAAGTCTCCAAACACTAACTTAAAACAACTTATTTGATTGATTGAAAAACTCGCACATTATCTAAACGTTGATTAAATACTATTATACCTCTGAAAAAATGCTTAGCATTCATATACAGATTAATACCACTATTTTCCTAAGCGATAACAAAACCTGCAATCAATTGTCATTTCAATTACTCATTGAGTCTATTATAACATTTGAATGCAATTATAAATCACATGACAATATCACCGCACGATATATCATAACTGTATAACCAATCCATCAAACCGTGTGGCCATGGATTCAGTCGTTGGACCAGTTTTTCTCACTCAGAGTTCACTAACAAATCTCAAGACATACAGACAATGCAAACATAGACCACATCTCTCTCTCTCTCCCTCTCGACACCTAATCTCCAGATCTGATAATACGATTGTGTCATACAATTGGACACTGATTTCAACCGCAGATTTGGGTCCGAAAGAGATCTCAAATCCTAAAAACTTTTCAAACTTTCAATTGTCTTCGCGAATGAGTTTTCACTTTTCATACCAAACGCCAAACTATAGCCCAAAACACACGACAATCAATGCGATAACAATATTCACTACACTTTACCAAACAATTTGAGAGTAAATATGATGTCATGTGTCTTGAGATACAAGACATGCCTTCAAAAGCGGAGTCATTATAATGTGTGTCAGAAATGAGGCCATAATTGAGGAGATAATAACCAACTCTTGTTATGGGTATCACTGCTAATGGCAATGGGATTCACAACACACACACACCGCCTATCATATCACCAGATAATTAGCGTAACATCTGAAGCATTCGCTTACCATTTGTGGGATCAGTTGGCAATCACTGGGCGATCACTGTCTTCACGAGAGAGACACACAATCGGTGGATGTGTTGATGCAAACGATTATCTTTTATCATGCAATTGGTGTCCACAACAAACATGCAATCTGTACGTCAATGCGCGGTCACTGGTAACGGATCCATGTCTTGGGTGATGACGATATCAATGGCATAACACAGTTGTCTCGCGGCTTACGCACCGATTGGTAACACATTTAACGCCAAAACTGATCAAAAAAACTCAAAACCAAACCAAACACTCAATGCATTGAATGAGTCAATGGTTTGTGTTGTCTATCAGTCAATGAATTGCTCGCAATCTATAGCACTGTGTTATGTCATTACAGTCTATGCGTGGTTTCATTGACACCCGCGTAGCACTTCACTATCGCTATAGTGGACAAATCACATTTGTCCTGTCCTGGTGCTATACATCATGGTTAGTAACATTTTATTTAATTAACCATAACCATATTTTCTCAATATCGGTAGCGAGTATAAAGTTAACCGGCATATATTTATTAACAATAGCGTAAGGTGTCTGTATCTAATTTCTTAAGCTTATCATTGCTAATACAATACGTCCCGTAAATACTGTACACAAATAGCACTGATGTATGCCATAAGGGGTCTCATATATACTCACCATATGATTGACGTATAGTATGAACGCTAACCATAGGAAAGCCACTCCTCAGAGATTAGTCACAAAACTAGAGCTAAAGCTTTGGGATTCACATCGAAATCGGCGTTAAAACAGTTTTAATCATACATTTCGTTAAAAATCTTAATATATTGAAGACTTTTCCATAAGTTTTCGTGTTTTAAACACAATTTAACTCAACTTTTCGCACAGTATTTGAGTTTTGCGTGCATTTTATAGCGACACCTATCGGGTCAACACAGCGTCCACTCAAACACAACATGCAATCAACGCCTTTGCAATAACCAGTAATTACGTGAACCCATAGCGCGCGCTGCGAACAGACGATTGTGTTTCAGAGTCGATGCGCCCATTGGCAGCGCCCGTAAACGCTTCACTGCCGTACACCGCCCTATACAATCAATGCAATCAATAACACGCGACTCTATGCACAGGCTTTACAGTGAAAGCAAACATTCAAATCAAGTGA